TTCCCGCGTGATAAACTATATATTTTTCGTCATATTGCACCAATGTTTGAGCAAACTGTTACAAAACTGAAATAGTTTTCATTTTAAGATACCGTAACCTCTCAAAACTAATTCTAGCTTGTTTTCAGTTTAATTTGCTAATTGAAACCAACAGCTGTTTCAATCGTCTTGCCTATTGCTATTACGATTGTGTTGTATATTATTATCGATATGTTGAACTATTTACAAAAAGGCAACAATTACTGTAACTGCAATCGGTTAAAAAATCGATACACACTTTCGATACATGCAGATGCAATAGTTTACAATAGAAATGCACATCTGAGTTGACAACAACCGCTGATATTTACTCCATTGGGGGCTAAAACCGATAGGGAGTAAAAATGCTACTTTAGACCAGCAACGCATGCGTTAAAAACAGGTGTTTTGCTGCAGTATGACGAAAAATAATTGTACGGATTCCCCTTTATTTTTATTGGCCTAATTAGATTATTATAACTGTCTACTAAAGAGACATTCATTTAAAGATTGCAATATAAATTAAGCTAGGCCCTACTCATTTTATGCCTTGAATGGACCAATAAAACATAAATAAACTGATCCTTGAGATAGAACCCAACCCTCAAAATTTGGCGTGAATATGATGCATAAAATGTGGAATCATTTTATACAGTATAGAGATTTGTATTCAACTAATTGCTTTTGTTTTAAACTTGACCCATTATCTTTCTCTATGCAGCAATTTTAAAATGTTTACTAGCTCGTTTTCTTGTACGGTACACATTTTGCAATCAATTTTAAACAATCTTCCTGTTCCTGATGAGCTAGAGAGTTGAAACTTGAAACATAGCTCACAAATGGATAACAATGCAATGATAAGGGTGTGTTTTGCGCATCGATCTCTATTATCGATGGTTTTGCGTAGCATGTGTAATCTTTGGCATCATATTCAATGATTTTATTTTCATATTTCCCTTGGACTACGCCACATGGGCCACCGAATTTTTAATGTTTACATTTTGGAAGAATGTAAATATATCAATTTAAGTAAGCTGTAAATAGATTCATTTGACAGTTTGTTTAAAGAGTAGAGGTTGAGAGGTAAAGTTTCTGCTGCCGGAATATTCTAAAGTTTATGACTATGAGAATAGCAAAAACATCGAATTAGAGTTGAAGGGGTTGGTTATGTATTGGCCTTATAAAATAAATTCAATATACAGGGTGTCCCGGAACTCTCTACCAATATTTTAGGGCATTGATCCTGGGTAAGAAACATAACTAAATATCATATTTAAACTGTCCGGAAGTCCTTAGTTACTCACACAGCCGCCATTTTGTTTTTTTCAGTTTTTAATTTTTTTCTAAAGAATGGTTAAACATACGAAATGGAAACTTTTCACAAACATTAAGGACAACTAGACAAAGCTACCAAAGAATTATCACGATTTTTCAAATTCATAAAACAAAATGGTGGCCATTTAAAAGTTTTGTAAAATCAATGGTTTTTTAGTTATTTAAGAAAGAAAATTTTAAATGACCGCCATTTTGTTTTATGAATTTGAAAAATCTTCATAATTTTTTGTAGCTTTGTCTAGTTGTCATAAATGCTTGTGCAAAGTTTCCATTTCGTATGTTTAACCATTCTTTAGAAAAAAATTAATAACTTAAAAAAACAAAATGGCGGCTGTGTGAGTAACTAAGGACTTCCGGACAATTTAAATATGATATTTAGGTACGTTTCTTACCCAGAATCAATGTCCTAAAATATTGGTAGAGAGTTCCGGGACACCCTGTATTTACATTAAAAACTAGAAAGTAGAAAATAATTTATAGGCCAGAATAAAAAAAAAAACTTTTTAAAATGCCACGTTTTCAAACGAACTAAAAAGTAGCAAATAATTTATAAATATGTGGAGAGAAGTACTTGTAACGTTTAAAACGAAAAACGCGGGTGCATGCAGTAGATAACAAAAGTTCAATAGCTATTTATTTGTAGTTTAAGATAATTGTAAATTAGATATTATTGCATGCGTCCAGCATTTTTAGTTTTAAATCTTACAAGTATTTATTCTCTCCACATACTTATAAATTATTTTTAACTTCTTCATTCGTTTAAAAAAGTGGTATTTAAAATAGTTTTCTATTTATAAATTATTTAGTGAAATATCTGTAAGAATTGGTCCTCTTCTGTTCAAGGGAACGTACATTATAATCGATGATTTATTTTCGATATAGGCTATTGATTTTTTTTATTCCATGATATATATAGATATTGACAAATTGAAAAATATTAGCGGACAACTACGATAAAAAATATTGTTCAGTATCAACAAACATTAAAAAATGTTGGAATAAAACTGTTCTAAACTATCCTAACTTATCAAAACTTGCTGTAAAATTTCAAAATTCCGTTTGATAGGTAACCTATTCCATTTCCCACATGCCTTTTATCTTATTAAATGGATTTTTTAAATGGTAACTTAAACTTAGCCTACAGCAATAGTATGTTGGGTTAGTTTGAAATATAGTTTCATTTTTTAATCCAAATAAGCAGTTCTCAATTCGTAGTTTAAATGCGTTTGAATAAATCAAACAGAAGCGAAGGAATATGGATAGTAAAGGAAGCCCAAAATATCGATAAATCGTAAAGTAATCATCGATAACCATGAATGTTCCCTTTAAAAGGAAAGTACCCAAAAACGTGACTGCAGATAGACATACATTACATTATATAACTTATGCCTATGTTAAGGTTTTTTTGTTAATATGTTTCCAACGTGGCACCTCATAAGGTGCTATGTTAAATTCTCATGACTTTCTTTTTAATTTTTTCACGTAATAAGATTTTTGTTGGCAGTTTTGATAAAATACAACATATTTTTGAGCCAGAAAAGTTAAAACTTTTGAACATTACAGTATTTTATTGTAATTGTTGTATTGCTGTTTCAGGGAATCAAAGCTAGCACTGGAGGATAAACATTGCCCTTGTGAGCACCCTTGGCTGGACAAACACCTTAGTAATTAATATTTTTTATGGTTAAATTTTTTATAATTTATTCTTTATTGAAGTTCCCCAAAATATATTTATTTTAAAAAAATCTGTGAATTTATTGCCTGTCCAACATATTCAGAGTTTTTTCACAAACATTTTTGATTGTAATAATGGTCATAATAATATCCATCAGTCAGTGCACGATCTTTGACATATTTTTACATGCTTTTTAAGATGAATTTTACTCATGCATATTTGCAGTATTATGAAAATCACACCAAATTTGAAATAATTGTAACTTCAGAACAGTTAAATGTTCTCTTGTGTTGTGAAAAGAACCTAAATAAACCCCGTACATTTTTGTTTACAATATTACATTTTATGTTTTTCTATACACAATCTTTTTAATGTAATGTGTAGTTTTTAGCTCTTTGACTGCCCTTATAAATAGTGGCATACCAAGTAAAAACACTCTACTAAAATGGTTTCTACAACTAATAACCAACGATTTTAGTACCCATATTTATACAAACTTGTATTGTATTTTAAGAGTAAACAGCTTCAAGTATACACTCTTAGCTCAAAGTCCATTAATTAATTTTCTCTGTTTTATAATTGTATTCTACATGTTATGTTGTTAAGACTATTTTGAGAAGAAATTATAGCTTTTGAATTCTTAAATAAACTTTTTATGATAAAGGAATGCTTATTTTAATATTTTCTGCTGTCTTAAACAAATTTTGGCTTATGTAAAATGTATTTTTTCTTTTAATATAATAATAAAATAATTAATAAGATACTAGTCAATAACTTTTGAAAACTAAATTTTTGCTATTACATTTATAGAAAAAAATTATGATGATTAAATTTAGCTAAGGTTGAAGATATTTGATACATTCACAAGAAGAATTCTTTGCTAAATTCAACAATGAGATTTAGTGCACATTGGTAGCAGTTAGCAAATCAGCTACAAAGATATCCTGTAATTATCTAACAAACATTCTTTTCATATTTATATTCAACATTCAGTGCATATTTACAGTAAATTATCTTTGCAATTCATCTTCGTACACGTCATTGAAAAGCAAATGCGAAGCAGAAGGATTCCCTGTAAATGTTTGACTAACATTATTTTCTAATCTGAGAAATAAACCCAGAGCATAATTGCAGCAAGTACTCTTTGCAAGTCATGTACAAAGATTACTTGCAAGTGTTTAACAAGCATTCTTTGCTAACTCGAGAAAAACATGCAGTGCATCATTGAAGCAAGATTTCTTTGCAAGTAATCTGCATTCATTCCCTGCACGTGTTTTACAAGCATTCTTTGCTAGCTTGAGTAAAACATTCAGTGCATGTTTGCAGCAAGATATCTTTGCAAGTCATCTGCATTCATTCAATGCAAGTGTTTTAACAAGCATTCTTTGGTAGCCTGATGAAAACATCCATTGTATGTTTGCAGCACGGTATCTTTGCAAGTCATCTGCAATCATTCCCTGCAAGTGGTTCGCAACTATTCCTTGCAACCTTGCTTCAAACACACGGTGAAACTTTTCAGAAAGTCTGAGATGGGGTTACTTTTATACTTGCAGCAAACGTGTTACAAATTAAAATGTTTGCAATGCATAGTTGCTGCAACCATCTTGGGTTGCCTCTGAAAGTTTATTATGAACTAACTGAAAGCTTTCTCTGCTATCTGGGTAGACACGAAAAACGATCTTCAAAATTTACAATGGGATGAGAAGTCTACTTGTGGTTGGTTAGTCGGTAAGTATACAGTATAATACAACCATAGATAAAACATACTTCTCAAGGAGTATGTTTTATTTATGACATAACTCTGAAAGCCACTGAGCCAAAATTATAATTCAGTTATTTAGTTTTATAGCTCAGTGCTGAAAGCGAATACTTGTTTATAAGCCTTTGAATACTTGTTCTACTGTATTGACCATTGACAATTTTGGCTTTTAACTGTGAAGTGAACAGTGGTCTTTGGATTTGGGGAGAAATAGTCTGCTAGGGTTATAAGAAGTTGTCATTCTTAAGTGTCAATTTTATAATAATGTCATTGATAACAGACTTTGATTGAATTCCATAATTTTCGAGTATTCTCTTTGAATACACTTTTCGTTTATTTCAATTACAACTAGGATAATGTATTTTATTTGAAGTATTTAGTTAGAAAAAACCATAACCTTTTGAGTATAAGGTAAGTAATGAATATAACTGGCATTACGGCACAGTTTAGGAGAGACCAAAGCTAGGTTTAAAATTTTTGTTCAGGATTCCCATTATATTGTTCTTAGAACTTACCGCAAAATCTTCATAAATACAATATAGCCCTACACCATTGAGCTTTGAATCTCTTCAATTGAGTTAGGTATATCATTAATGTTTGAAATACATAAAATTAAGAATGTTTATACTGTATGTTAATGTATAGGCCTATTAATGTGTATGTTAATGTTAACTCCAAGGCCTTATCTAATCCTGGGCTTGTTCAATAAACTATGACAAGGCCGAAAAAGTAAACTTAATATCTTAGTATATTCAGGCCACTGGACCTGATTTGTCTTGGGGTACAAAGCATACTACTGTGTTCTCTAATAAACGATAGTGACGGGTAGGTAGATCATGTCATGGAATATATTAATTCATAGATATATCCACAAATTGTAGAGTTATAATTATCACCTTACTCTGTAAGGTAATACTACACTGGACAGTCGGGTTTCTTATCGTAGTCCTACACAAACAACAACAATACGATGTACCCATACCTACAGTAACTTAAGGCAACTGGCCTGGTGTCCCACCAAGAAGTCGCTGTTTCGTGAATTCATACACCTGACATATATTGCACAATCGATATTACACATGCTGAATAATTGAGTACAAACTGGAAATAATTATAAATACAGTTATAAATATAAAATTGAGTCTAATTTGATTCTAATAAATCAGAACAAAATGACCGAACAAAAAATCAGCAAAAGATGGGTTGGTGATGGATCTAGGCTTGATTCTACCGGGATTGAAATTTCAAAATAATGTGATTTCAATTTAAATAGTTAAAGTAGGGTAATGATAATTACTGTGTGATATCCAGGTCCAATATGGATTGCGAAGATAAGATACGTAGAAATGAATTAATACCTGATGCTGAAGAGACTGTAGATATTCATGACGATCCTCAAATTGAAATGAAAGAAGATGCATTAGACTTAACAATTCATTGTGAGCCAACACTCATAGAAGAAGACGATGAAGAAGAGGATGTTGAATTGGCTGAAAGGTAAGCAATAAGCATATTCAAACAAACTAGCCTGCATATCAAAAGCAAGGCCTATAAAAATGAATGATGGATACAGGATACGTAGAGAGTTGTTACAGGCCCACTTTTATAAATGGGCAGACTGGGTATATGCCTAGGGGCGCCGGAGGTTTGGGTGCGCCCACCGGGTGCCCCCAACCACCGCCTGCCTAGACTAGGAAAAAAGGGGGGCACTGCTTTTGGGTTTGCCCAGGGCTCCACTGACCCTTAACTCGGCCCTGGAGTTGTACATAAGTAATTAGGTACAGCATTATACTGGTACTTTTACATACTACCCCTACCTACTTACTATATGTGTGAGTATAATAAGTCACATGGCTGGTGTATTAAAGTGAAAAACCAAAAATAAGACAATAATAAACATTTCATAATGGAATCAATTTAGTTTTTTCTGGGATCTGATTTATCAAAGTTTTTTTTATCCCTTTCCAACAATGGATTAAAGTGAAGAGGTTGTTCAATTTCAGGTTTATTAATTTGTAAATAGTTTATTTGTTAGTACCTATATTAGGCCTACCGTTACTAGTCCTGAAAATAGGTGTTTACTGGACGATTGTCGTTATTCCTGTGCGAGAGGAAGTCGAGTGTGGGATTACCATACGGGTCCAGTAAACACATTTTGGACAAGTGATGTACGATATTTTACGCCATACTACCATAAGCAAACTTAACAGTAAAAAATCTGTACAAATTCTTATATAACCACCGAATAAATGACTAACAATCACTACTGTTAACCTCTAAGAGAGGTTATGTTTTTGTTTATAACCAGACCACTCATTGTCAAATATAATCAGCTGGTTGGTGTCCCGTAAAAAAATCATTAGGCCTACAGTACAGTTGCGTAATGAAACCCCATTTGATTAAAGCTGTTTTCTGGACTAAATCCTGGTGTGGGAAGTTTGATAAAACAATGTAGTGTGGGGTAAAGAATTTGACTGATTGGGGACTTGATAAACCAAGCAGGATGAGGGCCAAGTCAGGTATAGCGTTCTGCCTGGCAGAGTATGGTCCAGGTCCTTGAGGAAACCGTGTACAGACCAAGGTCTGATATCCAGACCTCCCGAATGTAAAGTTACATCATTAAAACTACTTCACTCGGTCAAATTGATATAAATACATTTAGGCCTAAAAAAACTCTTAAACACAAAATGAAATTAAATAATTTTACAATACCTAACAGTAAGCCTTAATTATAAACTTAACACGTTCGCTGCTACGAACGTTCCGGAACGTCAGCCGTGCCACGGCGCCAGGAGTTAGGAACGTTCCGGAACATCACCGTTCATTGTTGTTTAACGTTTCCATGGATCAGCCAGCTCGTCACGAGCGTCCTACATTTCTTTGCAGCTCGTGGGGACGTACTTTTCTGACAATAAAAAATATTGTTTCCCAAAATCACCACTAGGGTCGATAGAACAGGGCTTTGTCCCACCTCTTTCTTGCTAGATAGCGACACTACTTTACCGACTGCAAACTGGGGAGTGCTGCTATCTATCAGAATCACTTAGTACTTTGTCCAAATCCAGTTTTATTGCAGAAAATTGCCATGCAGTATAACTACTGTTGTTTTTACTGTAATTCAGTGTATCGGCGGCATTGTTACGCACCGGCGAGCATTACCTCAGCTCCTGACGCCGTCCCGGCATCTAGTGGTCAGCAGCGAACGTGTTATTATTTATTAGATTAACCCTCCGAATGTTATTTGTCGATGCATCGACTCACAAACACTGTTTACGGCGAAGGCTCTATGACTGACAAAATCGGATTGAACTGGATCGAGTTAGGTATCGTTTTATTTGTCAGATTCAGAGCTTTCTCCGGAGGTCTGTCTCTAAGTGCTTTTCATTTTAGTTCCGAAAATATTGTAGCAGACAGCTGACGTGCGTATTTGTAAACAGCTTGGTTAACCTCGCATTGATGACTGATGTGTTTTATTACGTTTATCATTGTTTTAGTGTTAAAAATCAAAAGTAGTGATATACGTGGTGCATTATAAGAAGATTTAAGTGATTTTTAAGGGCTGGTTGATGATCCTGAAGAAGTAGGTAGTGATATTGATGTAAATTATCAGCCAGATTCCTAGCTATGGTTAGGCTATGCATTCTTAGCTAAATGCTATGTACTGAAATCTGTTTTTTACCCATAACTTATTTATTTGCAAATCTAGTTCCTTATATTATTATATATTTGTAATCCTCATAAAATTTAGAACAAAGTGGCAATTTTCAAATATTTATAGGCCTATAATTTATACAATTTCATTGAGCGCAAACTTATTATTTTTTTTGAAAATTTTCCAAATTTTTTTTTACCTAAAATTTTTTTTGAAACAAATGTTCCTTATGTATTATGTATAATATTGAAGCCCATGTATGTATGGTATATAGAACAGTATAACTAACATTGTTTTCAAGCTTCTCAGATCCGTTTTAATAAAACCTTGCAAATGACCAAAAAATAGGCAGACATTAAGCGGGGCTATAGAATACAGGGGCTGGCTCACGTGGACTAGCAAAGTGGTCCCACTGCCGTGTGGCTGTGACGTCACCGCGCTGACTCCACGGGCGTAGCTAGCGCGCGGCACATATACAAATCGCTCATTTAAATGCTTCCCTAAATGTACACAATTAAATTGTCCATATAAAACTTATATCGTTGTAATCTGCATTAACTACAGAATCTGATGGTCCAAAAATATTTTAGTTATGATCAATAATATGTATTTTAAAAGGGGAAAATTATAACGATTACAAACTTGTGAACTATAAAAAGTCACTAAGCGGGGATTTTTTTTATTTTTGGGATAGGAACAAACTTTGAGCGAGAAAAATATTCATTAATAGTTCTATTTCAATAATTAGCCTGAAAATTTTCGATAAAACCAACGGGTCGTTTATTGCTTACCAGGAAGTTAGGCTTTATAAACTTGGCGATCACATTACATCGTTCCGCACATGTCCGCATCGTGCTGTTTATAACATGATAGTTAAAAAATGTTATGATCCTAAAACAATTAATTGCACTGTTTCTATTAGTGAAACAAGTAATTAGTGCTAAAACTGAATTTTAAGAATTGTGTAGACTTAAGGCTTAGAATGTTATTTTATCTTGTTTGATATTCCGGTACCCCTTGTCATATAATTCTAATACACTTGGTCGGGTATCTTTTAGGGATGTGTAATGGTTTAGGTAATTTTATATTGTCTGTTGAACAAAGTGTTTATTCGTAGAAATTAAGTAAAAGAGCGTTTTAATGCGATAGTATTTTTATTATAATAGTTGTATCCTATTTCGCTGATTATAGCCACTTACTCATCTTCTGATCATTTTTCTTCTATCTTCTTCAGAAACAAACGGAAGACCCGAATAACAATGAAAGAGCGAAGTTGTTTTTACGCGTATTTGATGCAGTGTTGCCATAACAACAACCGAAAATTTGCGAGGCGAACGGCAAAATTACCCGCCAGCGCTCAGTTGTAACAATCGTCTTTTGAGACGATTTATTAATGAACTGTTAGGGGTATTTAAGAATTGTTAAGTAATTACTAAGGAAGAACTGATTGACTACAGTTTTCTCGCTGAAAGTTTGTGCCTAACCCGAAAATTAAAATGTTCCTCGCTTAGTGACTTTTTCAAGTTTCATTATTGTAGTTTCTCTACGTTTGTTGGTATAAAACCAATTTACTTGTGGTAAACTAAAAACTGTTTGGATATTTGGATTCTACAGTTAATGCAGAATAAAACGATATAAGTTTCATGTGAGAAATATGTTCGTACAACGGTAGGGGAGCGTGTAAAAGAGTGAGATTTTCGCTGGCCGCGTAATGGAAACAGGCCCGACTGTCAGACCAGTGACGTCACAGGAGGTGGGGGAGCGGGGCCGTGTCGGCAAGTGCTACATCAAAGACGTGAGCTAGCCCCTGTATTCTATAGCCCCGGACATTAAGCGGGGCTATAGAGACATTAAGGCCAAAACAAGGGACACTCGGAGGGTTAAGTACTAAGAATTAATTACTGAGTGATACAAACTACTTCATGATCATCTAATTCAGTTTGTTCACAGCTTTGTCATATTCTTTTTAAACTAACTCTGGTGTTTAAATGAATTCCCCATAAGGCATAAGCATATACTATAGGTCTCAAGATAAGACCTGGACAAGGAAACAATTCTTTGTTTGTTTTGAGGCAAAAAAAACCATCCGCTGGAATTCATATTTCTTCAAGATTTGTTGAGAACAATGATACATGAAACAGCACAAATTTTCTTTCAATAAATAAACGGTTTAAAGCAGAGAAAAAAAATAATGAGCAAATGTAAGATCCAACAAAATTAATAGGAATGTAAAAAATTTACAAATACCGTAGTTGTATTTTGAATAAGAAAATATGATTGAGAACAGATCAAGGAAAAATAAAAACAGACCAAAAGAGAAATTAAAATTCAGCTGAGTAGAATCACTGTTTTACTATCTTAAATTTAAACATGGTATCTTAAACTTGGTCTGCAAAAAACTAAGTCTGGAGGTTTGCAGCGGCGGGGGTATTTTTAATACAGGCATATGCCATTAGCCTATTTAACCATGATTTTTGTTTTATTTCCAGCCTCATTATACCTGAAGAATGTGTTGACCCTTTGGAGTTTTTACAAGTTGATCAGGTAAATACATACTTACATTTCAACAATAATTGATGAATTCCCCTCAGGGTGTTTCCAAATTGTCTGGACATATTTTGTGGACTTGATCCTTGGGCTAAGTCAAACATAAAATGCCATATGGGTCTAAAATGCCTAGATTTCTGTCTGTAGGTCTGTTTGTGATTTTTTAAAATATTTTATATCTTGAGCATTTTTCAAGATAGAAATTTTAACATTTATATAAATGTGTAGTTTAGAAGGGGAAAAAATGCTTAAAAAATTTTGTTCGAATATCTCAAGCCGTTTCAATATGGCAGCCATTTTAATTCTTTACTGCCCAATTTCACGAAAACCGTAAATACAGTATTAAGAAAATTGTTTTCTTAATCAGAAAGATGGATAGTTTAAATCCAAATCGAACGAGACCTTGTTTGTTAAAATCGGATGACAAACAACCGAGGGCCAGGATCAGTTCTTTTTCTACATTTGGTTACACAATTTAATAGGACTACCCAAGGCAACACTAAATAAACAGGCGGTAATTCTCATCTGGCATGATGTCATCATAGGCAACATCAATGACGTTTTGTTATTTTTTTTTTTTAATTTTTTTGTTTTCCAAGAAAAGATAAAAACAAGCAGCTGATCACAAACTGCAATCATTACGTCATTGCCGTCCCCTATGATGACGTCATGCCAGAGAAGCATTACGGCCTGTTTATTTAGTGTCGCCTTGGACTACCATACTGCACCTAACTTAAGAGCAGTAATGGTAGTCCTATCAAATTGTGTAGCTGAGTGTGGAAAAAACTGATAACTCGGTTGTATGTCATCCGATTTTAACAAACAAGGTCTCATTCGATTTGGATTTAAAAATACTCTATCTTTTTGATTATGAAAACAATCCAGAAATCTAGGAATTTTATACCCATAATTATATGGCATTTTAAGTTTGTCTTAGCCCAAGAAACAAGTCCACAAAATATGTCCTGACATTTTGGAAACACCCTGTATACCGGTTTGTATATGATCATGATCTGATTAATTTGTATAGGATAAGCAAGCTACATAATCATTTTCTGGTAACTGTGCTTATAATCATAAAAAAATAAAATGGGCTTCCGTACCTCTGATCAATATTTTTATTTAACTATCACAAAACTGGTTCTTTGGACTGTTATTTGGAATATATGAAACAATTATGACAGGTTAAATAGGCTGTATGCGAGGTATGCCCTACTATCAAACAAATTTTAGATATCCCAAATATTAATAGGTAAGGTAAGCATGTTTCTTGAAAACCATCTTTCTCAGCACATATGCATCACAGGGAAATTCTACGGATTCTGTTAGAAAGATATTTTTCTGTAGATGTGCAGAATCCCTTTATAAAAGAGGATCTTTAAGTTAACAGTACCTGGGGACCGAGCTTTGCTCAGGGAAAATCATTAGTTTACTCTGAAAGCAGTTTAGTATTGCAGATACACTAATCCACTCCCAAACTCCACACTGCTCACCTTTACTACTTCCTTCACTACTTCCTTCACTACTCCCTACGTCGTAGACCTGTTTGCCCTCCTTCCCTATACCATTTTAGAATTGCAGATATATGAATGCCACAGACAGTTCACACACTCTGCACTGCTAGCCTTACTACTTCCTTCACCACTTTTTACGTCGTGGACCTGTTTCCCTCCCTTCCAACGGCATTTTAGGATTGCAGATACCTTAATCTAATCGTCATTAACTGTTCCCACACTCTGGACTGCTTGCCTTTACTACTTCCTTCAGCACTTCCTACGTCGCGGACCTGTTTCCCTCCCTTCCAACGGCATTTTAGGATTGTAGAAACCTTAATCTAATCGTCATTAACATTTCCCACACTCTGGATTGCTCACCTTTACTACTTCCTTCACCACATCCTACATCGCAGACCTGTTTCCCTCCCTTCCTACAGCATTTTATGATTGTAGGTACCTTAATCTAATCGTCATTAACAGTTCCCACACTCCGGCCAGCTCTCCTTAAATACTTCCTTCACCATTTCATACATCGTGGACCTGTTTTCCTCCCTTCCCATAGCATTTTAGGGTCGCAGATACATTAATCTAATCGTCATAAACAGTTCCCACACTCCAGACAGCACGCCTTGACTACTTCTCTCACCACTTCCTACGTCGCGGACCTGTTTCCCTCCCTTCCCATAGAATTTTAGGATTGTAGATACCTTAATCTAATCCTCATTAACAGTTCCCACACTCCGGATAGCTCCCTTTTACCACTTCCTACGTCGTGGACCTGTTTTCCTCCCTTCCAACGGCATTTTAAGATTGCAGATACCTTAATCTAATCATCATATACAGTTCCCACACTCCGGACTGCTCCCCTTTTCTACTTCCTTCACCACTTCCTACGTCACGGACCTATTTCCCTCCCTTCCCATAGCATTTTAGGATTGCAGATCTAATCCTCATAAACAGTTCCCACACTCCACACTGCAAGCCTTTACAATAATCATAGATAAAAAAAGTCCCGCTACAATGTATCGAGTAATCTTCAGTATAATCTTTGCTCAATAGTAACAACTGATGTTTTTCCTTTTGTACTGTATTTTTAATTTGCTAGTATACTGTGGACCTACAACTTACAAGTCTTTTGTTTACTTTTTCCTTGTTATTTCTAAGTTCACCCAAAATGGTTACTTAGCAACCCATAAGACTAATGTAAAAAAATGTGACTTTCAGTTTCATTTTTCTACATAATTAGATTTCTTTTGGCAGTTCTAACTGCATTAAACTCGTTTTTTAGGCCAGAAATAAACTACTTACAACATTTGAAGAAAATCGTCGGAGCCAATTTTGAGATCTTTGTGCAAACATACATACATACATACAAGCAAACATTGCTCGTATTAGAGTATAGGATAGGATATGTGTGACCACTTAAGTTAATCAAAAAAATTGAAAGAATAACAAACAAATAAAGTACAGCTGAGGTTTTTTATTATTAGGTACGGTATATGGAAAGTTCCCTTTAGAAAGGAATTACGACCTTAAAGGGCAATTTATGAAATGATGGATAGTTTTGTGCAAGGTTTCTCGTCATGACGAACATTTTAAGTATGTGATTTATGGGGGTGTGACTTTAAGTTTTCTCAAAAGTCCATGCGTACTTTGGGATTTATATATGGATAATAATAATATAAAATATGGAGAAGATAGGCTCAAAAATTAGCACAAATATGAATTTAAAATTTGAAAATATTAACATGGACCTTATGCGTTGCCCAGAGTATGCTGGTGACGAAATAACAACAAAATATAAACAGAAAATCAAAACAAATAGAAGAAATTCAAATCACATGTTTTATTTTACAGCGTGGGGTGAAAATAGAGAAGTCTGTACATTACATATTTTTTGTTGAGTTTTTGACCACTGGACGACCTCTAGTATGGTATTATCTTAAAAACTGGTTATATATTATTTCTTAGTTTAAAAAAATTAGTAACAACAATTGTTTTACAGTCTTCGATTGATGGGAGTTCAGATGAAGAGGAATCAGTTGAATCAAAACATTTTAAGACTGATTCTTCATCTGACGCCGTTACAGACACTGTGAGTTTTTATTTCATTATTCATTTGTGCATAGCAAATAGATTTTTTCCTTTAAATTCATCGAGCACATCAGCTTACTGTGTATGGAATGTGACCAGAACCTATAATATTGAAGGGCCAAAAAAACTCACTTGGATTTGATTGTATATATTTTCAAGTTGGTGATTAGATTAGCACAAAGTAGGAGACCTAGAATTTAATTTTATAAAAAAAAGCAGTATTCAGTTTGTAAAAGTATGAAATGGAGAAGAGTATTTTTTAATTTAATCCAGATGACTTGGAACCCAGATCAATGAGAGTTCACTTAAACAAATTGTGGATATTTATAGGCATGCACTGTGGATACGATACTCCCTGGTGTGGATCAACGCCCGCACTAGTGAGTACTATGACTATCCGCAGTACTATCCTGGTATTTAGACCAATTCGTTAATACCTAGGCGAAAATGTGGTTCGGATTCCACTATAAACTGTAGGTCCCATAGTTGCCATTAGCTGTATAGGATATTAACAGCTGTGTCGGAATATGTCGGCTTTAGTCACTAACAAGACTACGCCACTCATCCTACACTCATCTCCATTCATACTAGGCTTAAAATACCTGCTTTGTGTGGTCACCATTTCATTGAAAAGTATTAAATTATTAAAGTACTATACTTGAAATCTATCTATATTATTAAAAGATTTAGTTAGATTTGTGTATATAGCAAATCGACTCATAAATATTTATTTTCATAGACATATTGAATCATGTTAAAGCTCTTATCCTCTAGATGTGCCGTTTCCAGGTTTGGATGATATCCCGTGAAAGCCCTTCGTCCTATTGGCTTTTAAAGTTTCAGAGTTCGTGCTGAATTCTGTTGTCAATCATCTGAACTTTTTCAAGTTTACATTTCTTACATCAAACAGATAGCCATGATTCAATTTTGTCAACATCCACATGAAAACGGGGTTATCCTTATAGTTGGTGATGTTTTAGTGAATTCATGTAAAATATTGTAATGTTATTTGTTTAAAGTCTAAAGAAGAAAATGACTTAGGTCTATCACGGATGTTGAAGTCACAAAGTGACGCTGGCTGCTAATAATCTCTTAAAACAATATTATATATTTCAGCTTTCAAATGGAATACAAAATGATACTTGTAACACTGAAATCGTAACAAGAGGAGATCTTCTTACCACTAACAAGGTAATAGGATACAAACCAGATACAGTACTAGATTTGATATAAGAAGTAAAATTTATGGTCTATATTTTGTTCAAGGGTTATCTATAAAGCCTCCATCTAACTGTTATTAATTGCATCTGTTCAGGGCCGGTTCTAGGAATTTTTCAGAGTTAAGCGAACACCCGAATCAGCGCCACTTAGGATTCCCCCCACCACCCCCCCCCCTCCCCCAAACCAATAACATGACATAACCGTATTTGTGAATTTTTTCCCAATAATTTTGGGAAGAACTTTTTTATAAGTTTAGGTTAGAAGAATACTTGCAATAAAAGACTGTTTATTATTCATATAAATTTAACATTTCTACACTTTTACTCATCATATAAGCTTTAGCAAAACCAAGTCCACACTAAAAAAAAAAACAGGCCGTAATCAAGGCCACACTAAAAACAGGCCGTAATGCTCGTCAATCATGACGTCACGATAGAAGACGGCAATGACGTAATTAAGGTTATATTTTTGTTTTCCATGAAAAGATTAAAACAAGCAGTTGATCACAAACGGTAAACATTACATCATTGCCGTCTTCTATCGTGACTTCTTTGGGCTGACTGGACTCGCCACCATGATTTAAACAAAAATCTACTAATTTATTTGGCTTGTTTTTTATCTTCTTCTTACAAATTTGCCTTACCCTTTTTATAATAAGTACCAGACGTTTTTTTCCTGCCATTGTTTTCTTAGTATCGGCTCGCTTGATGTTTTACTCATTTATTCAGTTTATACTTTCTTCTTATTTAATGCGCTAAATATAAATTAAACTTAAAACACTCGTAATCATTCACTTATCAACAATCATGAATCATCAAAACAATTCCATTACGATACCGATACACGCTAATACACTAATACACTAAAAGAGTGCAATACAACGTAGTGCTCTGCTCTAGGATAAGAGTCAGAAGGGAGGGAAGGGAGGGGGAAGTTTCTTGTGACAATTGGCGCTGCGCGCTTGCTTATCTCATCTCGAGCATGAGTGAGTCGTGAAATGAAACCCACAGTACAAGCGCCGCTGTATGCTACCGAGCGTCAGCTCACTACAAAATCGAAACTGCAAATGGCATTGAGTCCTTGAGTTGTAGTGCTTTACAAATATACACATTTTTCAAGTGCTGTTGGTACAAACAGAATTAATGCCTTTATTGTGGTATACTTGAACTCCGAGCGAAAATAAACAAAATTACGTTGTTCACGTAAAAAAATTGTTCCGTTGGCGACACGGCGCCACTTTTTCGTGGCGCCATATGCGGCCGCGTAGTTCGCGTATGGGTTAAACCGGCCCTGCATCTGTTAAGATGTAGAAGAACTTCCATCAAAATAACTTTCCAAGGGATTTTAAATATTAAAAATTTTAAATGGAAAGCCATGTATGTGACAGAGTTTTATTTTGAAATCAATATAGTTCATTAAGTTCCATATGTTTCAATTGTTTTAGCTTCAACTTATATAGTTCAGCAAGCCTTTCTGGAAAGTGGTCAAGGGGCTAATACATTCAATCAAAAGGTTACATAATATGTAACACTAATATTTTAAGTATCTATAAGTTTTAAAGTTTACTGTAGTAGCCCCAGAACTGCAATATTGACTAATTGGTTTCAAAATTACCTGTCATCAGTTCCAAATTGTGACATTCGTGAAAAATTAGTAGCTTTTGTTGATGGTTTAAACATTTACTAGTGTACATGTTGCTCGAATTCGAGCAATCACAAAGAAGTAAAGCAGTTATTTAAAAACAAATAACTTATTAAGAACAAATTAAGTCATAAATTCCGAAGAGTTTAAAATAGTCAACTCAAAGATTACGTAACTAATGATAATACTCACAATGTACTTAACAGTTCAATATAATCAACATTTCTTGTAAATATTTTATAATTTTTCAAAATCTGATCTGGCTTTTTGTGTATTGTAGAAATGTTTCCCACTTATAGCCGCAATAGGTTGTCCATGTTGGTCTTTGTCAATGATAATGTAGTCTGCATGGTATCACTCATTGTCGCCAGTAAGTTTACAAATTTCAGTCTTTATTTTAATAGCACCAAATAACCATTAGCTACCTGATTTTCTGCATAACCTCTCTGTCACAATTTTACAATTAACGTATGTTCTTCTTCTCGCTTTTAATTTCTGACAACAGCTGGAGTTTCATAACAATGTTTGTTTCCCATGTTAATCTTATGGAGAAATACAAAACTTTAAAGGGCCCCAGGGCCTCACTCTCTAATTATTTCCTTAAAAAGAAAGTTTCCTGCACAACTTCACGTTACGCTCTTTCCAATGACACCAAAAACATGTCAATCGCTTCATTAGATTCGGAGGAGTAATCTATATATATAAAATCCAATGTATGTTTGTTTGTATGTTTGTCCTTTATGGACTCCAAAACCGCTCGACAGATTGTAATGAAACTTTCAGGCATTATTAAGCATTATTCAAGGATGGTTTGTGTGAAGTTTGGTGCAGATCCGTCAAAAGGGCTCCGCCCCAGTAGCTCTGGAGTTTCCCATGTTAACCTTATGAGTACTCATATTTAAATGGAATTAAAGAATCTTAACAGCTGGTTCAATTAAAATATCTGATTCTGTGATGTTCAATAGCATTAAAAAGTTAATAGGTTTACCAATAGGGTGCAGCACTATATTTTTTTAAATTATGAGAACAGCTAATTTGCAACCAAAAGGTGAGTGAGCGTAGCGAACGAACTTCAACCTGGAGGCGAGTTAGCGTAGGGAACGAGCTAACCTGAAGGCAAGTGAGCGCAGCGAACGAGCTCCAACCTAAAGGTGAGTGAGCGTAGCGAACGAACTTCAACCAGGACGTTATTGAGCCATGCGAACGAGCTCATCTTGAAAATGACCGAGCATGTGACATAAGACCACAATAGGACAGGACGACGTCTGTCGGGCCAGCTAGTTATAGTATAGATTTTCACCACAGTATAATGTTTTTGGCCATATTACATACGTTAATTGGTGGCTGAAAGTTACGTGTTGCTGGCCATGCCAGCTGTCATTGTAATTTGGGGACCGAGCAGGTTTTTACATCCCGGGGCCGCAAAATCAGCTGTCCGCTTGCATATTAATTACACAAACTGTATCCATAGAATTGAAATAGAATTGTTTTATTTTCACCGTTGCCTAGCAACTGTTTATTATTATTTTTGCTGATTCCTGAAATTACTTCTTCACATATAACCTTAAAGCTGCGTTGACTATCAGTTTTCATTATTATTATTGTGATAAGTAGTAGTGTGGTGAAAAATAGTGTTCGTACCACGGACCGAAAATGGTTTTGCAGCTCTCGATCGATTTAAGTTCTTGACTTTGTCTCGAACTTAAAAACTATCTCCAGCCGGCAAAACCTTGTTTTCGGCCCTAGGTACAAAATATTCTATTACATATGTGTTAAATAAAGATGTGTTGTGTGTTTAAACCATCTTTGAAGATGCTCAAGCTGGTTTATTGTATTTCATGGACTGAATTGTTTGAAAATGGCAGCACACCAAAACATGTAGAGCACTTTGAATGTTACAATTTATAACTGATGACAGGTAATGTAAAACCAGTTAATGTACAAGTCCTTCCTTAAAACAAGGTCCCTAAGGTAAACCATCAACACACACACACATCAACAACAAACTTTAATCGAAACAACTATGGTTGTTGCAGGATGTCGCTGAGGTCCTGTCTTCAACCGAAGTCCTTTGCATGGTTTGTCAATTTAATTTAACTTATAACTATGGACCAGAATTAAGGAAAAACTTTAAAATACCTGGTTTTTAGAGTGTAACACAATAGATTTAGACATTTTTTCTTAGAATCACATTAGTCAGCATAGGCCTAACCAAACACAAGTCTGATTTTTGTGGTGAAGGAGGGAGGCTAATGTGACTTGCCCCCTGGTTGCAAGAGAATGTAACTGACTACCTTAGTTGTTTGGTTATTCAGTTTGGTATTTAGTTATTGGTGAAATTATTTAGAATCCAATAACCATTACTATACTCATCAACATGGCATACAATGAAATAGCTGCTAAGTGCCCCTAAGCCCTATACCCTTTGGCTGCCTATATCGGTGATAATTGTATCGAATACCAAATATAAAAAAGTAACAATAGTGTTTTGGCCTCTAGGGACATAAAAATTATAAAGCAAATCGGTCCCGGATACAGGTCTTACCGTTCCATCTACAGTAATAGCTACTTCCCTATAGGAAAATTTGCTAAAACAAATTATACATAAGAAAATAGAAAAATTGACCAAGACTGACACTATAGGCCTACAGGGTATTTACAAACTCCCTGGAAATATTTCGTGCATTTGTTTCTTAAGCCAATACATAGAAAGAAAATCACATTAACATGGGTCTAAAATGTAAAATTTTCTGCCTGCCTGTATGTGATTTTTACAAATGTAATATAACTTTTGAACCTCATCAGTGATTGATGACTTTAAATTTAGTACATGAGTGGTGAAAGATAAGACCAATCTTTGCATAAAGTGTCAGATTTCTAATTTGTCCCACTTCAAAATGGCAATCAAATGTGTTCTATCTTAAATATCTTGAAAACGAGTGTGATACCGCCAAAGACCTCATAAAATATACACTTAAAGGAAATATTATAACTAATGACTAATGAAATATTCAAGCAAGACAAATAAAAAAAAAGTTTAAATTATATGGTTTTTTTTTCTCCTATATATTTTTTACTTCCCATTTAAATTAATCTTTTCGCAACTCGAGTCTACGCACAGGCCCTGCCTATGTAGACTTTTTCCTTTCCTATAGAATGTATTTTTTTTACACTTTTATTCACTTATTTCTACAGTATATAATTTTTGTTTTGTTATCTAGTTAGTAATGTTTTGCTGTATCATATTTAAGTAAAGAAAAAAATACAATGTACTTATCTGTAAATAATTATTGGGAAATAAAATATTATTTTATTTCATTTCATTTCATTTCATGAGTGATGTGAGGTACGACTAATATGCTTAAGTTGTTGAAATTGGTTAATAAACTACTGAGATATTAGCCTATAATTTTCATGAGACTGCATGTGTATGGAAATTGTATGATGTTTTCGTTTGTTTCCATTGTTGCAGTGAAGTCTTTGTTTAAGCAGTTAAAAGCAATAGTATCAAATCTATTCTTAATTCAATTGATACTTATTTTTCTCTGCTTAGGATGTCTATTGTTAAACATTAATTGTCTTATTACAGAACTGCGGTCTGCCTAGAAATAGCATACCGGTAGTTGCTCCAGAGGAGGGATGCCTATCAAAAAACGAAGATTCTTGCGATGTCTGCTCATGTGTTCCTGATAGGTTTACATGCAAGATTTGTAACCTGACAACAAAACAATCACTTTACGACTCCCATATGCAAACTCATGTAAAAGCTAAAAACTTCAAATGTGGAACTTGTGGAAAAATGTTCCTACACTTTCCTCACCTGAAGGTGCACATGACAGCGCATGGGGAGGAGAAGCCACTGTTTGTCTGTGATATTTGCAACAAAGCGTTCAAAATGCACAAGTCGCTAAAGTACCATCGACTGTCATGCGTAAAAAGTAAGTTATACAAGTGTAAAAAGTGCGGAAAAATGTACTCGGTTAAAAGAGACTTCTACAACCATCTGAGAGGGCACGAGAAGGAAGAGAGGGGGGAGGAGGAGACGCTGACTTGCGAGATATGTTGTATCCTATTTGAAGACAGCAGCAGCAAGAAGGAACACATTGTCCAAGTTCACGTGGAAGCGCAAAGATTTGTGTGTGCTGTCTGCGGAGAGGCGTTTGTCACCGAGGCGGCAATGAAAAGGCACAAGGTCTCTCACAACCACAAATTCCGGTGTAAGTTTTGCGAACTAAGATTCTCTAAAAAGCGAGAACTATATTTCCACAAAGTTCTTGAGCACAATTCCATTAAAGACTATCGTTGCCGGAAATGTGATTGTGACTTTGAGAACGTCGAAGGTTTTATCGAGCATAAGGTTTCCAAGTCGTGTGAAGGCGACAGTGCGATTTGCGAGCAGTGCAATAAATCGTTTCGGAACAAGCCCGCTCTGAGGAAGCACCTCATAGTCCACATACCGAAGGGTGAACGTACCGTACCGTGTGACATTTGCAACAAAAAGTTTTGCGGCAATCCAGCATTGAGGAAACATATACGACTGTTTCACACAAACATTCGACCCTACACGTGTGAATTTTGTTCCAAGTCGTTCAACCAGTTGTGCAAACTCAAGTATCACATTGTAAGCCATGCAAGTGACAAACCTGTTGCGTGTGAGGTTTGTAACAAGAAGTTTGGCAACGAGAAGGACATCAAGATCCACATGAGGGTCCACACGGGAGAAAAACCCTTTGCATGTAAAATCTGCGGTAAAAAGTTCCGTCAGCGAGGACATGTCAAGTCTCATCAACTGGTGCACACTAAGGAGAAGCCGTTCTCCTGCGAAATCTGCCAGAAAGGTTTTGGTCTATCTAGTTCACTAAAAAAACACATGAGACTTCATCAGTCTAGCATTTAAAATGCCCACGTTATATTTGAGGTAGATTCCTTTGATTTTTGTTACCATTTATTTTTGTTTTGTTTAGTACAAAATGTTTTATTTTACTACCCTTATGAAGATTTTTTTTATTTTCAGATAATTTATCAGATCAATGAATATACAATATCACATTATAAAATCTACCACTTTATATAAGTTTTAGTTTGCTAGCTAGCTTTAAAACCTTAAAGCCTCTTTTGATTCTATACTGCAAATTTTTTAGTACTAAAACAGCAATCAAGCAACGGAAAGGTAGGCTAATATTTTGTACCTTATTTGCTGTCTAGTGATCATTAATTTTCATTTTCCAAGAATGGGTTGTTTATTAATTTTTAAGAAAAAAAAACTAACCTTCAGATATTTTAGTATACACAGGCAATGGTTTGGGAAGCTTTGAGAATATCAAGCAATTAAACTAAATAGAAGCAAATAGCTGTCATACTTAATAACATTTTTTGGAGATCTCTCTTAACAAGCATAATTAAATTGGAACTTTGATACATTTTCATTAGGATTTTCTTTTATAGAATCTCTATTAAATTTTTCTTCTCATATTGCAGTCTCTGAATATTCTAACTTAACAAAGTTTAATCCCAGCATAGTTTTCATAGATCTTAATACTAAGGCTCTCTATTGTGGTTTTTATAAGCCTGTCCAATTATTTAAAAAACTAATTTTTGTTTCTAAAATTTTTTAAAGTTACATTAGTTTACTAATGTTATTTCTATTTTTAAAGTTATTTTTATAAATGTTTTTGTACGTAGTTATATATTTTTTATGTAGATATTCTATAGGTTAGAACAGTATTTCCTAGTTATAAAGCAAATGTTTTTAGTTTCCTTTTACTCAACTCCAAGTTTACCTTAAGGTGAATCGAAATAATTATTTCTGACTCCTCAATAATTAACTGCTGCTAATTTTGGTATTGATTAAATTCTTAAAATATTTTTATTGATTTATACACACCACACTGTATCATTGTAGCCTATGAATTATTTTACTGTTTTCAATATATTTAAGAAGACATAGGAACATGTAAGTAATATTTTATTAGGTCACAAAACTAGTTACTATTTACATAACTACTGATTTATTGCTGTGTTTTAGTTATACTAAAGATGCTTTAAGTGTGTAAATAGTATTAGTAGTGTTGTTTCATTGTTGTATGTGTTTTAAAGTAGTTGAAATATTCATGGACATGACTAAACTTAGCTTGCAAAAGCTCGTATAGACACTTATGCCATTGGCACTCCATTTATGATGTTTATTTTTATTTATTCATTACTATTTTGGCAATCCTGCATTTTTGCCCTAATACAGTATTTAGCACTGTAGCCAACAGTGCCTAAAGGCCCTGTTCCCTGAGCACTAATTGATTATATTCTATATTGCATTTCAAATCAATTAAAATTAAGATTAATTTTGCAAAGTAAAGATAGTAGACATAAAACAGTAGAAAATGGTTCTTGTTTCTTGTGATTATTGTTCACCCAAATATAATATTCAACTTAAGGAAATATTACATTGTTTCTAACTATGTGTTTCTTGTGACTTTCGTTTAAGATTTTTTTTAATAAAGCTATATCATAATAAAAATTAGTTACAATCATCTCGATCTAGTCATTTCAAATTGTTTGTAAGTGATGTATACATGTTCACGATATAAATATACAAATTATACATTTTAAACTGTTAAATATTATTTTTTCACCCTGAGTACTTGATTGTGGACTGCATTCACTTCCAAAAAAGTTTTCTTACATTCTGTTATTCCAACATTTATCAAAGAATATAATCTTTGACTATCCAATAATCAATGATATAATCGAAGATCTTTGATTTATAGGATACATCAAATTTTTGTTATTTAAATATAAAATAAATCTAACATATTTAAGGAAAAGATTTACCGTACCTAAAATCCAATGATTACAATTGGAAATTAATAACTCTTTGGTATTATACCAAGGAACCAATTATAGAACAAATAGGTAGCAGTTTACGATAAACGTTATCATCAATCTGACACATACTTTCTCCCATCAGCTTGTCGACAGGGTTATAGTTGTAGGAGCAACTATGATATGTTATAGGGAAAATCACAAAAGTTGCAATAGATATTACACCGTAATTTGTACAGCAATGGGGGCTTTGCACTATTTTGTTTAGATTGTAAGGACCATAACATGGTAAATTTTAATAACAAATGGTTTTTTTGAAATTCCGATTTTCCGTTATTTTAAGGCATATTTGTTTTATGGGAAATAACATAAATTACAATAAATTTTGAAACATAACTTATGCAGCAATGGGAGTTGTAAAACTTTTTTCAGAATTTAAATGACATCCTACATTTTTATCAAAATCGGTGAGGCCATTTTCTTCTTCAATTTTACCATTATTTTACAGTTTCTTTTGAGCGGAGCGAACGTGTCTTATGCATTTCGTAATACACAAACTCCTCCTAGACGGCTGAATCAATCGTTTTCAAATTTTGCCTGGTGATAAAGACCATCGGTGAGTGCCAACATCTATATAACGTTAAAAAATATCTTAGGAATCCGCCCCACTGGGTCTCAAAATTTCAATGTAATCCTTTTGGAAGCAGTATTTCACACATAAACAAATGCATATAAGATCAGCTGTTGACGTTTGGATGCAGTAGATCGAGAAGAACAGAAACGGTATCTGGATCATAAATATAATCATAATCAAATGACGAAACTATAGTTTGAATCTTATACTAGTCAATGCTTTAATAGCCTTAACATCTTCTTTGGACGTTTATTGACATTTCCCATTTTTGAATAATAAAACAAATATCTTAAAGAAGTTTTTTTTCTAGAAATAGAAAAAAATCACAACCTTCGGTTTTGTGATGTGTCTGTTGATGCCAGCATAGCTGGCGAAAGGCCTCATGGAATTAAACATTCTGAAAATATTGGTAAAGTTTTTATTTCAAATTTATATTAAAACAAACATGTTTGCCTTTGGTCCATCCAACTGAGCCCGGAAGGGTTATCTAGAGTGTGGGGGGTTCTCCATGAACCTCAATTGAGTTAAGGGTGTCGCCACCTTTGGTAGATAGGTTCATCCGGGTGGGTCCCACTTCTATACCTAACTCCTTTTGGGAAACCCTGATGGCCCGGCAGTGATGTTGGGTTAGATGGGCAAATGAAGTAGATCGGGTGCTGGGATCAAGCCCGCTGGGGGTATCTGGGGATCTATTACCCTAGTTATCCCTGGTTTCCCAGCGAATGGGATGGCCTCGATCGGGTAGCGGTGTAAATATAGGGGGTTGGGGTTCGCTGACGGTCCCCTTCCTCCTGGTTTTGATGGCGGGTTATGGCCTTGGTTATCAGGGATTAGATAGGTCCCGAGTGTCGCTTGCACTATGTTGCGTCCATGGACTCCATCATGGTCTGTAGGGGTTTCGGCCCTGGGGGAACCCCAGTTGAAGGGATGTAAGACCAAGTAACCGGTATCCCTGGTTAGGATTGAGGGGCAACCCTCTTTCCGAAGGGTTGCTTCGGCAGCCGGTGAGCCTGATGACCTTAAGTCATCCACCTATGGTGTGTCTAAGGATGGGTATGTTTAGGATGGGCCCGGGTATGTTTAATTAGAGGTACCGGGTTTGCAGTTGGGGGGCTTTGGCTCTTTCGACACACACAAAATGGAAATGGAAATGGTCCATCTCCATTCAACTAAATTAGCAGTTTAAGTTGTGTTTGAAATGTTCTAAGCTTACTTGGGAAAAGCTTATGTAATCTTTTTAGTAGGTAGCCACCAACCTTTGATATTAGTTCCTTTGATATTAGCATAGATAAAACATACATATTAGTGATGAATTGGTTTGTGAATTAGTAGGCCAATATGAATATTGTGGGATTTTAAAAGAACAGAACCACGTGTTTTGATGCAAACAAAGTAGACGTGTTTACATACGTACAGCATTTTAAATAATAGTGTATTAGTTGGATATTGTGCTTTTTATGGGATAGGGTTATTTGACAAAACCAAAATTTTTAAGATTAGCTTTCATAAAAAAAGTAAGTACTAAAGTAAGTTTTAAATAGGATAACTTGATAAGGAATCAATCGTGAACATTAAAATGCACTCCTTGCTTTCATACTGGGAAGAAACCTTTAAAAATGCATTAAGCATAAGTAGGATATAGTTATTTGTGCAACTAGTGAGCAATTGCACTTTGCACTCGAGTTGAACATTATATTTTTACAACACAGTTAGGCCCCGTTTATGCACCAAGTGCGGTAGCGGTAGCGACAGCGGGAGCGATTTCTAACACCATTGAGTTAAATGGGGCTGTTTATGCACCAAGAGCGATAGCGATAGCGGTTGACCTCCCGCTGCGATTTCTAATTCGCCCGCTGTGTAGTTAGGAATCGCAGCGGTTGCTTGGGCTGAAGCCAGGGTTGCCAACTTGACCCACGCGCACGTGCACTTAGGACAAATAGTTGTGTTAATTATTTGGCAGAGTTTGAGTTGGCAAGACTGTGTCCCCCTTCCATTCTCCTTTAACCAACCGCTACCGCTATCGCTCTTCGTGCATAAACAGACTCATTTACAGCGGGAGCGGGCCCGCTATCGCACCGCTCCCGCACTTGGTGCATAAACGGGGCCATGGGGACTTTAATTTTGCACTTGTCAGTTGACAACGAAGTGACACTTTTGACACTAGACAATTTATTTTTAAATTTAACAGAATTCTTCTCTTTTATTTTGGTATTAGATTGAACAACTGTCTTACAATAATTAACGTTCTAGCATTTTCTCTGCCTTAATAATATAGACTAAATATTTTTCCTACAGTTACCTAACATGTACATGTTCTCTCACTGATTTGAGAAAGCAAATTGGCTAATTCGCTCATCAGTGAGACAATGTTAAAATTGTCTCGCTCTAACTACTTTGTGTCACTCCAGATTTGTAACGTGAAGGCACGAAATAGTGAGCGCGTAACATGCAGACAAGGTCGTATGCGCGCGAAATACGTTGGCAGCACTGGCTGTAAATCAGCTGGTCAGCTGTTGTACTGTTGTATAAAAACGGGACCATTTTTACCCCATAAAACCCCCCGTAAAGCCCCGTTCCCATGGTCCGATCATGCTGGTTTGCAAACTCATTCAAGTGTATCCCGCTCTACACCTTTAAACGAAAATTTCATCAAAATCGGAAAAAAACTACTCAAGTTATCGCGTTCACGGACAAAACATAAAATAATTTTTTTATGTTTTGTAAATACAGGGTGATTGGTACTCAGAGTGGTAACAGTTTTTTGGTGTAAGTACAAAGTAAATTCAGTTTGATGATGCATATAAAAGGTTCCAAGTCTAAAAATTAGCTTCCCAAAAAATTATTTTATGTTTTTCAAAAATAGGTCCCCCTAACTATGTTTTTAAACGTAATACAGCAATTTCTCAATTACCTGTATATGGATTTGAGCAGATAATGTCATTTTCGTGTTCTACATTAAATTTTGAATATGAATAATAGATAATGACGGAGGATCAGTTGTAAAAACTCCATTGTAAATAGATTCAAATATAAAAATTAAGACGTTTGATAATAGTTATTTGTGCAACTAGTGAGAAAAGTGAGCAATTGACTCACTCGAGAGAAATCCTTACTCACGAATGGTTTCTCGAGTGAGGCAATTGTACTTTGAACTCGAGTTGCACATTATACTTTTCCTACAGTTTCCATAAAACAAATAAATTTGTGAAGAAACATAACCTATTTTTACACAGAAGTGAACTTTTAATATAACATTTAATGTGAAGTGACAAATACAACAGTACAACAGCTGACCAGCTGATTTACAGCCAGTGCTGCCAACGTATTTCGCGCGCATACGACCTTGTCTGCATGTTACGCGCTCACTATTTCGTGCCTTCACGTTACAAATCTGGAGTGACACAAAGTAGTTAGAGCGAGACAATTTTAACATTGTCTCACTGATGAGCGAATTAGCCACTTTGCTTTCTCAAATCAGTGAGAGAACATGTACATGTTAGATAACTGTAGGAAAAATATTTAGTCTATATTATTAAAGAGAAAATGCTAGAACGTTAATTATTGTAAGACAGTTGTTCAATCTAATACCAAAATAAAAGAGAAGAATTCTGTTAAATTTAAAAATAAATTGTCTAGTGTCAAAAGTGTCACTTCGTTGTCAACTGACAAGTGCAAAATTAAAGTCAATGAGGACCAACGAAAAGAGTAGTGTAGTAGCACAGAATATTGAACCTAAAGGTTTCCTAAATAATATATAACTATACATTATTATTATATATAATATATAACCTAAAGGAATATATAACTTTAGTTTCTATATTGGTTAGGGTTCACTTACTCTACGAATCATTGACACAATGAGCCTCCAAATATGTAATTCTTAAAACACATGGCTCACTTACTCTACAAATCATAGTCTATACGAGCTTCGTAAATAATATTGAAGGTTCACTTGCACTACAGGCTCGTATACTATACGAGCCGATCAAAAATATCAAATAAATGAAGAGGGTTCACTTACTCTACAGATCATAGTGCCTATGAGCCAAGCGTATGAATTCTTGAATAATTCAGGAATAAGCTCGTATAGTATACGAGCCAAAATACTGAATTTAAAT